GGCGGAGGGGGGGCGGGGAGGGCAGAGGGATGGTGGGTGAGTCTGTGGGTTCGAAAAAGTTGCTGGGGAGAGCTGAGGCTGGGTGGAGCATGGGGGTGGTTCAAGAGCTGACCAAGCTGCTAGCCGCATTCACCCTATTGCGGCTTTTTCAGAAACACTGTTGAGGGCCCAGTCCGCGAGGCAGCGCACGCCGCTCGCCGCTGCCCCGCGCCCGAAGCGGCCGGCTCGCTGGTCATAGCACTCGCCTGCGGCGCGAAGACTGTCTTGTCGTCGCCCTTGGTGGCCTCCATTGTGATTGTCCACTGGCCCTTCACGGCGGTGAGCTGCTCATAGGCCTGCGCAGGCATGTGCAGCGCCAAAGGGCAAAGGGTCACGTGGGCGGCACGAAAAGGCAGCGGCGTGGCCGCCTGGGTGGGTGCACATGCCAAGTGCAGGAGGCTAAGCGTGCGACGAAGTATGTACATGGCTAGTGGCACTACGCTCATGACCACGGGAACCGAAGATTGCCCATGCACTTACAGTGGGCCTGTTGCCAGTGGAACCAGCGGAGCCCATGCCAGCGGCAGCTGCATACGATACAAGTGCACAGAGGCATGCTGCGACGAAGAGACGAGCCATTGTGTGTGCTTGATCGGTGTGCGGGCTGCTGACAGCTCGAAGGGGCTTTCGATGGGCTTCAAAGCTCTTGTGTAAGCCGTAATATGCGATATCAGAATTGGTTGTTTCAAATGGCGAGGAAGGCAGCTTGATATACCCTACGGGTGCAAGAGAGGCACGGGGCCACCCGGAGAGCTCAGGGGGGCAGGGCGTGTGTGCTGAGAGCCAGTGGCAGCGCAGTTCAAGCTCGCTACTTGTGCTAAATTTACGATAAGCTATTCGCATGTGCATCGTTCTTTGTGCTCGCTTACGGCCCCATCGCCCGCAGTCACCCACCCGGCCATGTGCGCCCCACATGTGGGGTTACTGCCCCTGTGCCGCCCAGAGACGGGGCGCATGCTTCTTTTTCAGAAACTGCGGCTGCCCCAACACAGCCCTAAGTATCGCCAATAGCACTTTGAAGCTGTTTCGCTACTCAACCCCAACGAACGGCTGGCCGCGGCAGGGAGCCAGCACCACGCAGTGCCGCGCCATGGCTGGTCCGCAGGACGCCGTGTTGCGCCACTTGATAGCTGCCTTCCCTATCACCCACCCGATGCAACCGTGTCAGCAGTCTGAGGTCTTCCCCACCCACTGCGTGCCCGCGGCCGTGCGCGGCGCCTCGCCCCAGCTAGCACGAGCAGAGCTGGCTATCAGGTGGCCGCCCATTCAACCGCCATCCCCGTCATGCAGCCCCGCGCCCCACGCGTCGCTCCACCCAGGCTTGAACACCCGGCTGCGCGGCCGCCCGCGTGCCAGCGAATCAAACTCGGGGACGCGTTCGCCGCCAGCCGCCGCCGCCGCCGCCCCCGCGCCGCCAGCCGCCGCCTTGGCTGGTGGCAGCCAGGGCTCCCGCAAATCCATCGATATGGGCGGCGGGTCTGCCCGCGCGACTGCGAACCCCTTTTTTGCGGGCGGGTCCCTCAGCAGGCCCCGCAGCCGGTCGGCCTGCGCGCACAGAAAGCGTCCGCGGGCGAGAGGGGCACCCCTTGAGGGACGCGCGCGCGCACACGCACGCAGCTCGGCATCTTCCGGTGAAGCGTGTGTGCCCGCCGCTCCGCACCCCTGGCGTTCATGGCCCGACCGGCTGCCGCCCCCCGCCCCACCGGACCCTCCTGCGAAAGTCCCACCTGCGCCGCGGCTTTGGCGCCGCAGGGCACCGAAAGAACGTGCATTGTTGTGTCTTTGGACACGAGCGCCGCCTCCCAGGCCTTGCGCTCTGCCGCCTTGAGGGACGCGAGGTGTGCGTCGTGGATGTCACCTGGGTTACAACAGATATGATGTCGATTTGTACATGTATGATGGTAACATGTGCACTTATATAGGCATAAATGTACATAAAGCTTGATAGTGTCACCCTATGATGCAAGGATGCCATACGTCCCTACACACCGTGTTGCAACGCGCCATCCGCATTTAGCGGCCGCCCGCGCACATGACGGGTTGCGAGCTAGCCACCCGGGCGCCAGTGCTGGTGTGACGCACGAACAAGGGCCACTGCGTTGAATGAGCTTCTAGCATCAAGGTGCCCGCCACCCCCACCTGCATCATGGACTGACCTCCAGAAAGCAGGGTCCTGCGTGAACACGCCGGCGCCCTCCTGCCGCACCACCGCCTGGAAGCTGGGGCCCGCGCCGGCGCCGCTGCTGCCACACGCGCTCCTGCGTGAAATAGTAGAGCCCGGGGGCATTGGATGTGAGATGATCTGCCAGCATGGCCCCAGCATGACGAGAGCGCCCCTTGCGTAAATCATGGTGTGCGCGCCACCCTACATACTGGTGGCCCCGCCCCAAGCGCTGCGATTGGCATTGCGTCCTCCTCCGAGCCGGTCAAAGCAGCACCAGTAGCACTGGCAGTCGCAGCAGCGGCAGCAGCAGCAGCACTAGCAGCAGCTGCGGCGGCAGCAGCAGCAGCAGCGGCGGCGGCAGCAGCAGCACCAGCAGCACCTGAGGCGGATTCCCCAGCGCCCAACTCACCCCTGCGGCAGCTGCCCTTGTGCTGCGCCCTCCTCCCAAGGCTCCCGCAGCTCAAGTGCTCGCGCCTCGGACGGCCGCAGCTCGTGCCGAGCGAACTTGCCTGGCGGCCTGTGCATTTTAAACGTGCGTCAACAGGCGGTGCGCTGCTGGTCAGCAGCGGCGCTGGTGGTACCGCCGCCGAGGACGATGCAGGCTGGTGGCTGGGCAAATCCTGGCCAGCGCACAATCAGGTGAGGCTCTTGCATGCCGCATAACTGCATTGATCTGACATCAGCTTGTCCAAAACTTCGGCGCTTGTCAACGGGCTGAATATGAGACCCGACAGGGCTCGTTCAAGCCTTGTACCCCCTGCTGCGCCCATCCACGCGGTGCACGGCCGACGCATGATTGTGCGCGCGCACCTGGGGGCGGGCCACAGGAAGGGCTGGCTGTGCGGGCACCAGCCAAGGGCAGCCGCCTCCTCAGGGGGGACCTTTCCTGGCACCGGCCCGCGGCCGCAGCCGCCGCCGCTGGGCTCTGGAGGGAACCGCGCTTTAATCGTGTCCTGCGGTGCGCGCCGCGTGGGCGCGGTCAGCCCCCATGTTTGCTTATCCGGGCCCCGCGTGCTTCAGACCAGCATACCAGCATCGAGGCGGCCACCTGCCAGGGCGGCGCCTGGCCCCCTGCCTCTGCCCAGGCAGAGGCAGGGCCCAGGCAAGTGTTGCTGCCGCTGTCGCGCCGACGCGCTCGCGTCCGTCACACCAACGCAAACGCCGAAACCTCCCAGCAGCAGCCCATGTCGCCGCCAGCATGCAGGGATCCCCGCGTCCATGCGGCCCGCCGCCTCCGCCCGGCCGGACCCACCTCGAGCGTCAGCTCCCCAGCCGCCACCCGCCTCTCCAGCTCCCGCGCCGCGGCCCTCTGCGGATTCCACTCCGCCCACGCCGCCCGCAGAGCCCTCATCTCGGGCGACGCCGCCCTCTCCACCAGCGCCCGCCTCGCCTCCGCCCCCACGTCCCGCGCCGCGCGCCGCCGCGCCGCCTCCGCCTTGGCGCGCACAAAGGCGTCGTTCTGCGCGTCGAGCGGCGGCATACGCGGCGCGCGGACGCGGCGGCGTCGCTTGCTGCTCTTGCTGCTGGCGCGGGAGCGCCGCCTGGCGGTCGGATGAACAGGGGATGGCGCGTGCGGCGGTGTTGGTTGTGTCGGTTGCACACGCACGCCAACCGGAAAGGGGGTTTGACCGGGGCAAAACAAAATGCCAACGCGACACGACTCAGCGGACCAGGTAGCAACCAGCGGGAGGGTATGCGCCCTCCAGATAATGTGCAGGGTGGGAGGGGAGGGAGGTTTCTAGGGGTCGCTGGGTGGGCGTGGCCCTTCCCTGGCACAGTGAAACCACTCGAGCGATCCCCGCATGTCCCTCGCTCCCCGACGCACCCCCTCGTGCCACGCGAGCGCCGCGAGCCTGAGCGCCCTGACCGCTCGGACCGCGCGCCGCCGCCGCCGCCGCCGCCCCGTGGCGGCCCCGCGTCCGCTGGCAGGCGGCCCCCGCCAAGCGCACCGCCGCCGCCGCCGCCGCCCTCGTCGCCGCCGTCGTCGTCGCTGTCGGGCTGCTCGGCCTCGACGCCCAGCACGTCCCCCTTAGTAAGCTCCCCTGGGAAGCGGGCGGGGTTTCAGGCGGCTGGGGCTCAGGGGCCAGCGACCAGCACCGCGCATGCAATCTGTTTGTCAGTTGTCAACTGCATCGCATCCCTGGATGCAACGCGTGGGGTGCCTCTCCCCTTCAACGTCAGTTTAGACCAAACGTCTGATCAAATTGAAAGACCTCGCGCATGATTCTGACCGCTTGCAATTTCAGCGAAGTCGTCCTTGGCCCCCCAGAGTGTGGCAGAGGCCGTCCACCACCCTCGCAACACCATCCCCTACCCCCACGCAATGAAGCGCAAATCCGTGCTAGTGGAGCCGTGGCTTCTCACGCTCACTAATCGAACGGTCTGATGACGTCATCAGTTGCTCACCCCCGAAGCGCTTGTCCAGGAGGTCAACCTGGTCAGCCGTCGGCCACAGCGCCAGCGCGTCCGCGTGGCGCGCCCACGCGGCGCCGCGCAGCGCCAGCAGACGCATCAGGCCCGCCACGCACTCTGGGCGCACCTGCGGGGCCCAGGCCGCGGCGCGCACGCACGAGCCTTGAGGAGCCGGCTTAGGGCAGCTCCGCCGCCCAAGAATGCGTGCGGGGGGTTGCATGCAGCCCATTCTCTATTCTGTGATGCAAAAAGCTGGCCGACGCCCGCCGCGTGTTTTGTGTCATTCAATCTGTCAAGCCCACGGCCAGGCCTGTTCAAACAGACGGTCTCTTCCACCCCAACACCCCCAGCACGGCACTCCCGCTCTCAGACGCCGGGCCTGCTCACCTTGCCGGACGCGTACGACGCCGCCTCAGCGCCGATTTCGCCGAGTGGCGCTCTCAGCTTCACCGCCCACGCGTCCACCCCCAGATCCGCATACAGCCTCTCGGGGTGGAGGCCCTCCGGGTTGAAGAGCACCCGCCGCTCGCGCCACGCCTCGTCAGCGCACGGCTGCCTCTCGTCGAGCGCCCAGATCTTCATCTCCCGCACGATGTCGAGTCCAGACCGCCAGCTGTCGACGGCCAGCGGCGGCTGCGGCGGCTGCGGTTGCTGTTGTGGCTGCGTGGGTGCGGCCGCTGAGGGGGTTGCAGCGGCTGCAGCAGACCCGGCAACGCTGGACCTGGAGAGCCGGCGTGCGGCGCCAGCCGTTTGGGGCTGCTGCTGCTGCTGTTGTTGGGCTGGGCTTGGGCTTGACGCCAGCCGCGCGGCTGCCACGGCTGAGGACTTTGCCCCCGCGTGCTGCCTAGATGCCCCCGCTGCCGGCGAGCCGACAGGCGTCGCCGCGGCCGACGCCACGGCGGCAGCGGCAGCCGCCGCGGCGG